CTGGCTGAGAGTTAGTCCCCCAGTTGGACGGCTCGTCCCCAGCCACATAGTCGTTTGAGGGCTAATAATTGTGAGCTAGTCAACAATCCCCGGTTGGATTGTTTCCCCTGGTACATGATGATGGTGAGAGGTGGGTGTTATTATATTACATATATGTATATGTGGTTTTTATTCTGGTTTGAAATTTGTGAGTTTGTACATGTATGAATGTTTAAGCCCTGGATTGGGAAGTGTTATTCGGCAACATACGCCTTGGATAGGGTATGGTGGCGTGGAAAGAATTGATATAAAGGGAAGAAATTGATAATGTGTTCCATGTACATACGCCTTGGATAGGGTATGGTGGCAGGGTTGATTTGATATAAAGGAAGAGTTTGAGAATGTGTTCATTGTGTTTTTATCGGATTTAGAATTGTGATAAATCTGGAATGTATAGTTGGTTCAGCTGTAAATAATTGTTTATTATCGGAGTTGTGACCATTGATGAGAACTACGTGTGGCTTGATCCCTTGTCCAAGGGTACGTAGGCAGCCTAGGGTCACACCTAGGTGCAGCCGCGAAATATTATTGCGTTAAAAAGGTTTGAACGATTCTAAGTATGTGATTGGGTTTTGATGTGATTCTTGGATTTGAATCCTGTTTGATGGTTTCAATGGTGATTGTAAAGTTTGAGACATTTAATTGTTTGGTTTGTGTATTGTTCAACTTAAGAACATTGCTGGTCCTGTTTGAATTATTTGAAGGCCGGAGGTCTATTTGGTATTTGCATGTTAATAACTTGTGCATGCTGCCTGTTGGGATATTAAAATGTGAATTTTGTGCAGGTTGAAATTTTGGAAATGTTCAATTTACAGGGGAGACTGCCGAAATTTCGGCAGAAAGTCTCGGTTTTTAGTAAGTGGGCCCGGCATTGGTGTGATGCCGGAATTTCCACAGGATTCGTCTCGGGTTCCGAGGAATTTCGGGGCGGGTCCTGTCACTGCAAATCATCAAACTTGCTATAAACAATAGTCTAAACAATGAGCTCCAAAGACTCAGGAACATAGATGGAAGAATTGAGCTGCAAATTTAGCATGCAGAATAGGTTCTGCCATTAGAGACCGGAAACGGATAAACTTAAATTTGACATAGCTCACAGCTACATAATAAGGGAGATTTTATTGGCACCCCATTATTTGCTTTTTACACCCCATATTAATTTTAAACATGAATAACCTATTTTACCCTTGTACATAACTACTGTTAAGGACAAAAATAATTAAAATTGCTCACTACACCCCACATATGTTCGTGCAACCCTAGTTCGACTTTTTTCTCAAACTATCATGTTCCTACAACTCTAACGAGATTTATATGTTTATATTGGTGAAAAAATATCTAGTATTTATTCATGAAGGGTGAGATTGAAGTTAGAGAGGCTTCAAATGAGGTATTTGTTTATTTGTTGGCGCTTTGCAAGTTTAGTATTTCATGATGGTCGCTGGTTGCGTTCAGCACATCAGTACCGAACGCAATAGGTAAATTCAGTGGGATGCCATCGAAACGTTGCATCTATTTCGGTCGTATTTGACAGGTCATGAACTTAATATTCGGTAGAGATCCACCGTAATATGGAACTTTGTTCAATGGTTTATTATCGAAATTTTACTTGTGTTTCAGTGGTAACGAACCGAAATTTATTTATTTTTTCAGTAACTTATTGTTGACCACAAATTTAATGCAAGCTATTTTAATCATACTCTCATTTAAGGAACAAAAACAAGGCGACGCCCCTACTGAAGGCAACAATGTGGGAACAAAATGTGTAATGGATTATAGTGATCAATTCACAACTTATTCGGTAATTATTTTGAGTTTTTTTTTTGTCTAAAATTATTTTTAGTACCATTAATGTGGCATTAATGGTTCAAAATAACATGAGTTTTATGTGTAGATATTCAATGGTAGAGGTGCATTACTTAAATGGGCTCGTGCACAAGGAAAAATGAATAATATTGTCATTGTAATTAAAATGTCTGATTATGGAGTTGAGGGCAAGAGAAGACCTCAAGTAATACTTGCTTGTGAGAGGAGCGGTAACTATAAGTCTTGCAAGTCTAGTGAGACAACTGATATAAGGTTGGATGCAAATAGTGATATCAAAAAATGTGCTAGGGACATTGGTACCAAGAAATGTGGATGCACATTCTTGTTAATAGGTGTCAATATTGGTGATGGGGATGATCGGAAGTTGGAGGTGGTTTGTGGAGTACACAACCATCCTATTTCAAAATATTTTCAAGGTCATTCAATTGTGGGGCGACTTTCTAAAGAGGAGAATGCCTTGTTGGTGGACATGTCTAAGAGTTTGATGAAACCCAAAGATATTTTGATCACCCTGAAGGTAAGAGATGCAACGAATGTTTCAACTATGAAGACAATATACAATGCTAGGATCCGAAATAGAACCAAAGAATTTGCTGGGAGAACCCAAATGCAACAATTCCTTAATAAGTTATCCGAACACAATTATATTCCGTGGCATATGACATCTGGTGATATTGTAACTAACTTGTTTTGGACACACCACATTAATATTGAGATTTTGCATGCATTTTCACATGTACTTATCATGGATTGCACCTATAAGACCAATAGGTATTGTTTCCCACTATTGCAAATTGTGGGGGTGACATCTACTAATATGACATTCTCTGTTGCGTATGTGTATATGAATGCCGAGAAGGAAGACAATTACACATGGGCTTTGACTGCATTGAGGAGTTTGTTGGATGATAATTGTCTTCCTCGTGTTATTGTCACCGATCGAGAGTTAGCACTCATGAATTCTATTACGTCTATATTTCCAAAAGCATGAAAGAAGGAATATTGGCATTGTTTGCGACAGATTGAGTCTAAGTTTAGTGAATTTCAAAAAGCTCTTGAATACATACATGACAATTGGTTAAATCCATCTAAGGATAGGTTTGTGGCCGCATGGATAAACACTTGTATGCATCTTGGATCGACGACCTCAAATAAGGTAAGTATTTTAGTCAACTTTTGATATGTTAATTAGAAAATTTATTATTGTTATCAACAAAGCGGAAAGCGCACAGGTAAAGTTGAAGCGACAACTCCGCTCGAGCCAACTTAACTTTGAGAGATCATGGGTAACTATTCACTCATTGTTAGAGATGGAGCACACAAAGATTAACTCGATCCATCCAATTTGAAATCTTGTTCTTTCCTGCAACACATAATATTCTACCAACCACCTCGAATTTGAGGCAGGTAACGTCACTAAAAGTCCAGATTGCCTTCTAGTGCGTATTTTTTCGACGTGTTCAAGGCATGCAATACTTCTTTAAATCTTCCCATGGATAATTTGTATTGAGGTTACTTCGGTCACAATCGAGCCGTTTATCATATATGCCAGGAAAATGAGTCTACTATATATTGGGTCAACATAATTACATCTTTATCGAGTTCATACATATTGACGGTTTTTAAGAGTTCGCCTTATTTTGATTCAATGCATGAGGTGGTATACACTGCCCCTTTTGAGGGTACACTTTTGGACTGATTTAAGGATTTGAATAGGCCAGTTACCAACAAATACGGACTTCTATCCGTGTTCAACCTCTCTATAGGAAGCCCTTAACCAACCATCCTCCTAATATGCTCCACAGGGGTGACATCATCATATTGCAATCTGTTACTTATGAAATTGCCAATATATAAGTGCAACCATTCATGACAACATATCAACAACTCCAGGCAGGCAATGTTAAGGATTTCATCCATCAGGTCATCAGGTAACTCAAACTAAACAAGGAACAAGAAACTACATAAATAAAATAAAGAAAGAAAAATACGCTAACATACAAACAATAAACAACATCAAATCAACTAATCCAAATACCTTAGTCTGGTAGTGTTTATGAAAGTTGTAGTTGAACTTCATAATAGATATTGGGCTAGTCGAAGAGTAGTTATTAGCCTGGTATGTTAGAGCACAATCAAACATTGTATACCCGGAGTTGTTGATATGTTGTCATGAATGGTTGCACTTATATATTGGCGATTTCATAAATAACATATTGCAATATAATGATGTCATAGCTGTGGAGCATATTAGGAGGAGGGTTGGTTAAGGGCTTCCCACAGAGAGGTTGACCACGGATAGAAGTCCGTATTTGTTGGTAACTGGCCTATTCAAATTCTTAAACCAGTCCAAAAATATACCCTCAAAAGGGACAGTGTATACCACCTCATGCATTGAATCAAAATAAGGCGAACTCCCAAAAACCGTCAATACGTATGGACTCGATAAAGATGTAGCTATGTTGACCCAATATGTAGTAGACTCATTTTGCTGGCATATATGATAAACGGCTCGATTGAGACTAAAGTAAACCCGATACAAATTATCCCTCCACCGTTCAAAACCTCCAATAACCAGGTTATTAAATACCATCCTAGAATGAGGGAAAACACAAATAACATAAATATTTAAAAGAACGTATAACTACAATACAAAAGAATTCTACTCAACATAAAAATTAATGGAATAATACTCACAAAGACTGGTGGATAAAATTGTTCATTTGCACAAACAAATAAAGAAAAAAAATTACACAAAGAACAAAGACAGCAATAATGATTACAAAGGAAAACAAAGTTCAACATATATTTACCCATATGCAAAGCTCATGAATGCAGAGAGAGACCTAACCAAGAGCAACAAACTTTAAGCGTCACTATACCAAAAATAAGAAAAGTAATAAGACTAAAGGGTGATGCTCCCAAACATATATTAAGTCATTCTCATCAAAGAAAGTGACTTTAAACCAGTCGTTTCCTAAGCTATCTATTTTTCAGGGTTTGGTAAGCATAGCCCAAACCACTTCAAATTTGGCTCTAATGTTAGTTGCTAATGAAAGGGGCTCTCCAAATATTGTACCCACTGGACAAAACTTTGCAAATTGCTCAGCTACTGGATATGGCAAATATAGTCAACAATGTTTGTCACTAAAAAATGCATGGGCTCTCAATTTAAAAAGAAACAAACAAATGATAGCCATGATAATTTAGGTGTTGGATGCCACAGTAAGATTCACACAAATCCAAAAATAAAACTCATATGTAGGGTTCTTGATAATTAAGGTGTAACCCCATTATATGATCTTTATACATGACTTGAAGGAAAAATGAAGCATAAATGATCAATAGTGTACCAAAACAAGTAAGAGTAAACAACTAACATTGAGAATCTAACAAATAAAACCAAAAGCCAGAACAATATACAAGGTAAGTTAACAATCCACAGTTTTCGGGAAAAAAAAATATTTGCAAAGTTATCAGTATATAATAAAATGAAAACAAAATGAAACTGAAATACAAACTAAAAAAAAAAAACTAGAATTCATTATGAATTTTCCTAAAGTAATGTCAAATTTAACAAATTCAACCTCTACCCCATTAACGGAACAATGAAAACCCATACACATTTCTGTGCAAAACCCTAAAACTTACCTCAGAATGGGGTGGTAACCAGCTGAGAGCTCAGCACCGAATAAGAGAACCGAGTGACAACGTGAGTTCGTAAATGCCACTGATAAATTGTAGGGAGATTTTATTGGCACCCCATTATTTGCTCTTTACACCCCATATTAATTTTAAACATGAATAACCTATTTTACCCTTGTACATAATTACCGTTAAGGACAAAAAAAATTAAAAATTAAAAATAAAATTGCTCATTACACCCCTCATATGTTCGTTCAACCCTAGTTCGACTTTTTTCTTAAACCATCATATTCCTACAACTCTAACGAGATTTGTACGTTTATATTGGTGAAAAAAAACATCTTGTATTTATTCATGAAGGGTGTGATGGAAGTTAGAGAGGCTTCGAATGAGGTATGAGTTTATTTTTTGGTGTTTTGAGAGTTTAGTATTTCATGATGGTTGCTTGTTGCGTTTAGCACATCAGTACTGAACGCAACAGGTAAATTCGGTGGGATGCCACCGAAATGTTGCACCTATTTCGGTCATATTTGACTGGTTATGAACTTAATATTGGATGGAGATCCACCGTAATATGGAACGTTGTTCAGTGGTTTCAGTGGTAACAAACCGAAATTTATTTATTTTTTCAGTAACTTATTGTCTACCACAAATTTAATGTAAGCTATTTTGATCTTACTCCCATTCAAGGAACAAAAACAAGGTGACGCCCCTATTGAAGGAAACAATGTGGGAACAGAATGTGTAATGGACTATAGTGATCAATTCACAACCATCCTATTTCAAAGTATCTTCAAAGTCATTCATTTGTTGGGCGACTTTCTAAAGAGGAGAATGGACAAAAACAAGGTGACGCCCCCATATCGTTTTCCACTATTGCAAATTGTGGGGGTGACATCTACTAATATGACATTCTCTATTGCGTATGCGTATATGAATGCCGAGAAGGAAGACAATTAAGGGGAGAAGAAGTGCTGCATATGGTTGAAGATATTAATTACATATGGGGATCGAAAAAAGGGGGAGGTGGAGGTGAAAATGATGGTGACAGAGTTTGTTGGAAGAAGAAGTCAAAATTCTTTGATCTTGAGTATTGGAAATACCTTCCAGTGAGGCATGTCCTCGATGTTATGCACATTGAGAAGAATGTTTGTGATAGTATCATTGGTACATTGCTGGAGATCCCTGGAAAAAATAAAGATGGGATTGCTGCTCGGTTAGATTTATTGAACATGGGGGTCAAAACTGATTTGCAACCCGAGTATGGAGAAAGAAGTACTCGTTTGCCTCCAGGGCCTTGGAATTTGTCAAGAGCAGAGAAGAGAGCGGTTTGCAATTCTTTCTATGGTATGAAGGTCCCTGAAGGTTATTCTTCAAATATAAAAAATCTTGTATCTTTACAAGATTCAAGACTTCTTGGCCTTAAATCACATGATTGTCATACCTTAATGCAACAATTGCTCCCTGTGGCAATTCGTTCTGTTTTGGAGAAGCCTGCAAGGTATGCAATAACTCGTTTGTGCTTCTTCTTCAATGCTATATGTGCAAAGACGGTTGATGTTTCCAAGCTAGATAAGTTGGAAGAAGATGTAGTAGTTACTTTGTGTTTGCTTGAAAAATACTTTCCACCTTCATTCTTCGATATCATGGTTCATCTAGTAGTACATCTTGTCAGACAAGTTCGTCTATGTGGGCCAGTTTATTTTAGATGGATGTATCCGTTCGAAAGATATATGAAAGTTATAAGGGGTATGTTCAGAACCGTACTCATCCCGAACGTTGCATTGCGGAGCGTTATATAGCGGAAGAAGCTGTAGAATATTGCACTGAACATATATCTGATATTAGTACAATTGGAGTGCCATCAAGTCAGAAGAGAGGAGTTTCAAAGCCATTATCAGGTTGCACAGTGAGCGTAGTTGATCAGGACCTGTTGAACCAAGCACATCTATATGTCTTGGAAAATACGGAGGAAGTCCTACCTTATATCGAGTATGAGTTTTATTCTTTAAGTTTCCATTTTAAATTATTCCTTATGTTAAATTTAAGATATGCAATAATTGATTGGGACCGTAATGCTTGAATTTTTCGTGTCATGTAGGGAACATATGATCCACATCAAGGCCCCTTATCCAAAATTTAGAAAGAGAACAAAGTGGCTGCAAGATAAGCACAATAGCACTTTCATTCAATGGCTACACTTCAAGGTATATGTTATTCAATAACATATTGGACTTTTAATTTTCTTCTTTCTATGTTAGATTGAATTAAGATATGATTAATTTGCAGGTTCAAAGTGAACTTGATGAGGGAGGCAATCATGGGGTATCAGAAAATTTAAGGTGG